TCAGCCATCCGTCACGTCATAATCATCTATTGGTAATGTCGTGGCCTAACAAAACAAAATAGTTGTGGATCTACCATTGTCACGTCGTGACAAACCAAGGTGTCACGTTGTGACGACATTCTGGACAGTCTTGATCTTTAAGCTCTTAATCCTTTAAACCTTGCAATCCAGACCTTTCAGAAAGCCTTCTATATCCTAGGACACCATAAAAATCATAGCTTTTTTGGACATGCATGTCCAATACATGTCCCAAACACAAGCTAGGGAAAAACAAAGAAAGAATGGGGTTAGGATCTCATGCAAGAGTCCCAAAACCCTACCATACTTCAGATCCAACACTTATCTCAGCAAAGAGACATTGGAGATCCATAAAGTTGGCAATTTTATGGACCCCCAACACTTTATCAAGCCTAAACATGAAAGATGTCACATAAAAACCTAGATCTAAGCTCGTGGAATCATAAAGCATTGAACTTGGAAACTCATAAGGGTCTAGAAGGTGTGAGAATGGATGATGGTGAAGCTTGAACGTTGAGTTGATGCCCTAAACTCTATCACTCCTTATTCTCAGACAACTGGTACTGCCGTTGCTAAACTCGGACAATCGGCCTTTTATGGCCCATCTGATTGCAATGAAAGCAAATCAGACTTGATCCCTATGTGGTGGCTGTGCAATCCCGACTAAAGTGTCCAGTCTTGCCACACTTGTAGTAGCCTGAACCACCTCCCCTGCAAGCTCCATCGATCGTCTTGTCGCACTTGCCACAACGGCCCCGACCCTGCTGGCCCCTCGATCTCGAATAAAAAACCTTGGGCCTCTTTCCCGAACTCTCAGAAACATGAACCTGATCTGACTTCCTCTTCTTCTCCATCTCCAGATCAATCTCCCTCTCTGTCTGGCTCACGCCTCCATATCATCCAATGTCTTGCAACTGGATCTGCCCACAGACCGCCTGATATCGCTTCTCAACATCTCGTGGTATCTCGCCTTCACAATAAAGATCAAATGGTACATGGATCCGAAAATAAGGTAAATTCCTCATAACAAAATCACATTTATCAAAAGTATGTCATTAACTCAATAAAGGACATCGTCGAATCATAAATATAACCACTTAGTAAAGAAAACACAATTTGCACATATAATAGACAAATGCTATGAAAACATGTTTAGTATTGCACATAAGAGAAATCAAAAATGAAAATACTCGTATAATGAGGACAAGTGTTTCAATGGTAAAAGTAGTCACATTTAGCTCAATACTTAGCAATCGACTCTAAGCTTCTCAAACACCACCTAGTGTCATTTGGCTATTTCCCCTCGACCTCAAGTTCACAAATATCATCCTACTACTCTTTCCTATACATGTATATATTTTATTATTTTCGAAACCCAAAAATGGACCAATAACTCAGTTATTAAGTTCTTAATTCCAAAACTTATTTTCAATATGGATAAACAAAAATCGATGGTGCGGTTTTTAGTTTTGTAAAAACCGATTTTTTTGGTGCGGTGCGATTTTGAAGTGTATACCGAGCGCAAAAACTTAACCACATTGCATAGACAAACCGAAGCTACAACCGAACCATATCTATTTATACATATTAAATAATTATATATAATATTTATTATTTAATTATTAGAAAATGTATTTATATTATCGGAAAGAGATGTCTTTTAGATGAGTTCTTAAAGTCTCTTTGCCACTCCTGAACCATTGCACAAAAGCAGATGGGATGAGTTAAAAAGTCATCACATGATCCTCCTTATAAAAAAAAGTATATAGTCATTATTGATAAAGTTAAAAATCTGTTTCATGGTTTTAATTATAGATATGTATATATAGATCAAATATAGTTGACCTTTTTATTGAAATGTCGACGGATTTGCCTTCTTACGCAACAAATGTAATTTATGTAAACTAAGTGTAAAAGAAACAACCACAACAAGTTTAAAACCGCGTCAAAACCGAAAATACCGCACCCCTTAAAAACCGCACCTTTCGATTTATGTAAATATACAAAACCAGATTTGGTGTCTGCAGTTCGGTTTTGACAAAAAAACTGCACCGAACCGCACCATGTTCACCCCTACTTTATTATTATTGCTTGTCTTTTACTTACGACCAATACTCCACTTTGTAGAATCAAAATAAAGAGATGAGTAAATTACACGAATGGTCCTTATGGTTTGGGGTAATTTGCACGCTTGGTCCCTAACTTATTTTTTTAACTCGGAAGGTCCCTACTGTTTGTTATTTTTACACGCTTGGTCCCTATTGTTTGTTTTTGTTACACGTTTGGTCCCTATCTTACTTAAAAAGACAATTATTTAAATAAGGAAAAAAGGGTAGGGTAGGTAAGGTAAGGTGAAGGGGTGGGGTTGGAGTGTGTTTATTTAAATAAATTAAAAAATCAAGGGAAAAATAGATTTTTTATGTAAGACAGGGACCAAGCGTGTAACAAAAACAAACAGTAGGGACCTTTCGAGTTAGAAAAATAAGTTAGGGACCAAACACGCAAATGACCCTAAACCATAGGGACCATTCGTGTAATTTACGCTAAAGAGATGCATGTCAACCTAATCAACATACGTATACATATTCTTCTCGGATTATACATTATACTTGCAACAAAATTGTTTATAACTTTTTTCAACATAAATATGATTTCACTAGAAATGACATCCAAAAATCTCCATATATCAATATTATAAGTCACAGTCACAAAATAAATGTATCTACAAATAATAAATGAGTGTACAATTAAAAGAGAAAAAAAGACTTAAAATATTCTAAAAATTAGGTAAGAATTAAGAAAACATTATTGTATGCAAACCCAAATGCCTTCACTTGGAATGCCTTGATAAACCACAAATAAAATGTAATTGCCCGGCGGAGCAACATTAACAGATCCCGGTGTTATCACACTTACTTCGTAGTGAGATTCCCCGACTGCTACTGTGGTGTTTCCAGTATCTAGTATCAACAGCCTTTGACTCATGGAAAATGAATGTGTGTTAAATGGTGGAGCCACCATTGTGACCGAGACCAATTTTGGATCCACGGGGCATAACACATTGAACCGGATGAACATCCGTTCACCGTGATGGATCACAGTTCTAGGTGAGATTATAGATGGGCGTAATTTTGATGAGCTTGGATCCAAATAAGCTGGTGAAAATGCCTCCAAGCTTAATTCAGTAGGATAAAGTACGTTGGCAAACTCATATTTATCATGTGGGTTACTGCCACCAACAAGAACCCGACCATCTCGAAGCAGAATAGCAGTCGAATGGTACATTCGAGGTATGGTGGTTGGTTTCTGCAACTCGAACCGAGATCCAATTCGATTGTTAGGCTGATAGATTACCGGGCATAAAACCGGGTCCCGCCCTAGTTCCCAACCCGCAACTCCCGCTGACCCACCATTGATAATCAAAACTTCGCCATTTGGTAATAATAACATATCACCCATTACACGTGCTAAAGGCATGGTTTCCATGACCCATTGTGGATTCGGGTCGGATATTTTTATCCGGCCACAAGTATCCAAAGCACCATCAAATTTCCCATTATTTGCATTAACAAAAGCTTCCTTAGGTGCACCCCCACAAATTAAAACTTCAACATCACTTGCTTTCCCTTGTACAACACGCAATGGGAGTAGTACCGCAGAACCGGTGCTCGGGTAATTCCTCGGGTCGCCACCGGGTATTGTTGGGTAAGTCTTGACAACTTGATTCCGAACATAATCAAATAAAATAGCACGATCGTTCGCGTAAATGAAAAAATGTCCGTCTGTGTTTAAAAAAACAAACGGGTATAAATTATTTTCGATATTTGGTTCATTGGTCTGAACCAAAAACGGCAAGCTAGGAGCATTCTCGGCTGACGAGATCTTGGGGTAAAATTCGTAATTAAATGCCTGACGGCCGCCAATAATGATTTGACGGCCGTCAGGCAGTATGTGATTGGTGGCGTACCATCTTGACCGACTAAGTCCAGATTGTATCTCCTGCCAATCACAATTATCACATGATTTATAAACACGGACAACCCGATCTCCTTCATATGTTCCACCCGTCTGGACTAGTGTCCCATCGGGCATTAATGTTCCCGATGAACACCAGACGTCAGTGAGGACCATGAGTGGACGGACAGAGTTATGGAGGACATCATACTCAACGGAGTGGGCAGAGCAGTCGGTGGATTTGGGGCGGCATTTACCATCCCGGAGAGAGATGTTGGAGGTGCCGAAATCGGTGCGGTCGTATATGACGACACGGTCGCTGGGGAGGAGTTGCATGTGCATGGCGGAGATGCCAATGGTTGGGAGGAGGAGGGACCATGATCCACTGGAGGTAGCTGGACATGGTGGCACATGGAGGAGGAGGAGGAGGAGGAGGAGAACTAGATGAAAGACTGGAGAGGGGAAAGCCATTTGTTAATGTGTGGTGTTGGTGGTGGCGGAAATGGAGTCACCCCTAACTTACCAATTGGCGGGTTTATATAGAATATGCGGCGGTGTAAAGTGTAAAGTGTTTCCACTGGTAACCCGTAACCACCGTCTAACACTTCTCTGGCTAGCTAATGGCTATCTCTATGAATCTTTCTTTTTATTTTAATGGAAGTATATTAAAAAGTTTCTAACTTTGAAGAACATACACCATGGCTCTTTTTTAAGCTGTAGTGATTCCAACATTGCACGTGCATGCATGCCTAATATTTGAGGTTGATGTCGAGGAAACCATACTCGTCTACGTTTTTACTTTTTACTTTTTACTTTACAGCCATAAGCATAATGTTATACAAACTTCTATTTGAATGGATGTTAAAATAAAAGCCTAATAGAATCCATATGTTGACTTTTTGATTAGTTAAAAAGTATTTTGAGGGGTGGAAATCTTGATTACTAACTATATATAATATATTTAAGCATTTGGTTTTATTTATTCTCCAATTAATTGTACAAGATCAATTTCAGTATAATAACATTTCAGGTCGCATACAGATAAAGTTTATAATTACGTTCAGGATTTGATGTCATATAACACAAGTATAGAAAATAACATAAATAAGTAGGACAACGACAGCCTATAAAAAAGCTAATATATATATATATTCTGAGAAAGATTACAAAAAAAGAAAAAAATCATGTGCGGTGGCATCCATCATTCCATTGTGGGAAAGTGTACGTTTTTTTTGTGGAAGCAATGGAATGGAATATGTTGAATAGCTTCCCTCTGAATAGAGAATTGTGTGCTTATTCTGGTGATGAAAGCTTTCGGTGATTCTGGCACAGCTCTAAAGGACCAATAAGTCCTCCCACTTGTTCACCTTCTTACCAAAAAAACCCAACTGCCAACTGTCCCCTATAATAATTGGTAATTTTTCTTACGTAGATTTTGGTAATTTAACTCGTCAAAAATGAATAACCATAAATACCTTAAACAAACTGTAATCGTTAGTATGACACTGAACAACCATAAATTACTTTTATCAACTAGATTATCAAGCAAAGACTAGCTACTTCTAACACAGCCTAACAATATATACTTGCACTTTGCTACCAATATAGACAATTTCATTATTTGTTATATATTGCTATGATTGATAAAAAAAAATGTACATACGATGCTATTAAATTTATGGATAAAGAATTTGAAGTTTTTGTTACCTGTAGAAATGTAAGTACATTGTTATTACATTGCCTGGCCTATGTAAGGTTAAAGAGTAAAATGCAATAAGTGAGATCAAGTAGAAGGATAAAGCTCCCAAAGTGCCACAGTAGTGTCTTCGGATGCGGACGCCATTTTTTTGCAATCTGCAGCAAACGAAATCGCATTGCACTGCAAAAACAAACAAACCATAAATAAAAATACAAAATAAAAATATAATGACAGGTGGCATATACCGTGGCACAGTGATACTTTAATATCGCCAAAGGATTTCCTTTTTTGTAATTATATATTCTGATCCTGTCATCACATGAAAAAAAAAAAAAAAACCAAACCATTTTTTTATATCAGAGCAAAATACAGGAAACTACAGCGTACTTTCATCATTTTATCGATTTAGCAACTAAACTATAATGTTTTTTTTTTTTTATAGTGAATTTAGTCCCTGAAGAAGTATGATTAGATTGTAGTAACCTGTGATCCCAGCCAGCAGTCCCGAATATTTTACCATCTGCACGGATCGAAGTACCAGCTATGCCGGGTCGCTCCAAATGGATTTCTTTTTTCATCACGCAAGAACCCTAACGCATGATCAAATTTTAATTAATTATATTTACAAGATTAAAAAATCTGAAACATTATATGAAAATTGAGATTCTTGAAACTTTTATGGGACAAATGGACGATGGAAGTATACGTCAATGTTTTCATCAAATTAACAGATTTAAAAAATGATTAATAGAAATTCATATTAATATAGATATGGGTTTTCATAAATCATACCAATGAATGATCCAAAGTAAATAAGACAATTTTATCATCTGCACCTCCTGAAATGCCTCCATTCATCATCTCATCCAGTGACAAGCTTAGAACTGGTGGACGTAGCAATTTCTATGTTAGTAACAAACAATGTTTCATTTTATAACCAAAAGATGCAATATTTTAGTAGCTATGTATTTAACTGGTTGAAACATATAAATTGGTGAAAGAAATAACAAGTCCACACACCCGGTTCTGAATGAAACCTCACAGAAGTTAATGGAACCTCAGGATTCCTTAAATCCCACCAAGCCATTGTTCCATCCTCATAACTGCATACATAAAACACAATCAGGACTTCATATGTCATTTCAAGACAAGTCCATTTCCTGATTTCCTATAAAGTTAAGTACAATCTACAAACCCTGCTAAGACATGTAGAAATCCCTGTTGTTGAGGTACCAAAAAAGCTTCAACTGCCATGCACATACCTGTTGAAGTAAATATATGATAGTAAATCATAATAACTTTTATCTCTAGTAAGTAGTAATAAAATAATGTTGTATAGCTTAGGTACCTTTCCCTTTAGTAAATTGATTTGTGGAGGCAGTAGAAGAATGTGGTAACCTTGCAAACCTTTCTGCAGCATTGAGATCCCATAATTCAACCTTCCTTTTGATATTTCAAGTAAACATCATGGAGAAAACAAACATAAAATATGAGATCATCATGTTCATACCTCAGATAGCTCTGATCCAGCCATAGCCACATATGGACGCCCTTCCACATGGTCATAACCTGATAACAGAAACTTATATATATGCCCTTCAATACAAACACATGTCATTACCAAAAAAAAAAGCTTCAAACTCCCCCTTTTTTTTTACAGAAGCAATTCATTCCTGCCCATATATTCCCATTAAACCAAACATTGGTCTAAGATAGAAAAAAAGTACCTTGAAATGTGTTGGAATTTTCTACCACATTCTCTTGATCCTCATCTTCGATGTCATGAGAAACTATTTGATCATAATCTTCAATGGCTTGTGTCACATGATGAGGTCCCTTCTTTTCAGGTTTTATTGGGTCATCAGAAGGCGTCTTCACTAATGAAAGTTTGCAGAAATGATAGGTGTTTGCATCAATTGTGATGGAAGGTGTCCTGTCAATATCAAATATTATATCTTCTACATTCACATCAATTTCCACAAGTGAGACAACTGAATCTTTTTGTTGCTTAACAAGTTTTTAGAATACCTTGACAATTCCCCATGCTCAATATCCCAACACTTAACAGTTCCATCCTTGCCCTGGCTATATTCATATGAAAACACATACTCAAAACATATATTTACCACCGAAAAGTTCACTCTTGAAACTTGAGAATGTGAAATAAGGTAATAAGAACCTGATAACTCTATTGTTTCCAATTGAGGGACTGGTTGAAACACTTATAATCCCATGTGCTGCACTATGTACCCTGCATTCAATTCATAGGAAATACTTGAACCCTGTTCTTTTTTTTTTATTATTTTCTCTCATTAAGTGTTGTCTAGATAAAGTGTTACAGAAGAAAAAAAATATAAAGAAAGCAAAGAATTTGTAGTGTATACCATGCAGATGAGATAGTTCGATGTTGCACGCTGTCCCAAATTCGTAATTCACCATCTGAAGAGCTGCAGTAAAAGTAAAACTCCCATGAAAACATGTAATGGTTGGCAAAGGCACATACTTTAAAGATAGTTTTTTTTTTAACAAAAAGAAAAAGGAAAATACCTACCCTGAGAATACCAAGTACTGAGAAGGATGGAAACATACATCCATGACAGAAGCACGATGGCCTCTCAACACTGCCACTGGGTCAGGTGGTGGTCTCTTGCTCATCTTGATCACAATCCTGAATCCTGTCATTCAGACATAACATCAAACACCTTGCAGAGCCAAGTTTGTTGGTGCTTAGCTTACCAATCCAACCCATACAACACCAACCAAACGAAGGACTTTGATATCAAAGCAGCTTCTTTTTCGAAAATCTGATACCAACATTACTAAATGGTATTTTCTAATCAAGTTCATTTTTTTTTCTTCATAACGTTCACAATAACCTTCGCTTTTGTGATCGAAAAACTTATTTGATTTCATGTATACTCTCGTCTGCTCTTCATTAGCGAATTAGTATATTTTCCTATCAAGGGTTGCCCTAGGCTATAGATTACAATTTACTACAAACAATCGATATTGAAGGAGTATGATGATCTACAAACATCCGCCGAAGTACAAAACTTGGATCAAAATTTTGCTAAACACTACTCGAGAAGAATAAAACAAGAGCGATAGGTTCTTACCTGCTTGAATCCGTACCAGGGAAGGTCGCCGGAGCAGCGTAGGTTTGGCTTTTGAAAGAAGGGGGTGTTGGCAAAAATGTCTTTTGATTATTTTTTGTATTGCAAATTAAAAATATATGGACCAAAAATGTAATTCCAGAAATTTAGAACTATAGGACCATAAAATGTAATCTATGAAAATTATAGGGATATATACATTAAAGTCCCAATATTTTCATCGATTTGACAAGAAAGTCTTAAACTTTATTTTTTTGACAGTAAAGTCCAAATTACCGGCAATTTTTGACACTTCTACCATTTTTCCCGGTTAGCCGGTAATTAGGACTTTTTTGTCAAAAAAATAAAGTTTAGGACTTTCTTATCAAATCGTCAATTAGGACTTTACTGTCAAAAAATAAAGTTTAAGACTTTTTTGTCAAATCGTTGAAAATATTGTGACTTTAGTGTATATATCATTTTTTGTTAGAAATTTAATGGTATGATACTCTTTAAGCATAAGAGTTATTGAAACATTCTCTAGTCCACTAGATCTTATTGAAATCCTTAATGTTTGCTTCTTGTTAAATCGTTTTTTTAATCTCAACAAACCGACATTGAAAAAAAATGGAGATAATCAAGAAAGAAAGAAAGAACCAGAGTTGTGTTGGCTTTTTGCAGTCCCAAAAATGGAGAAATAAGAAACCGAAAAAAATGAAATTGTCCTTATTTCCCTTATCCACATTCACATCCTTTTGACTGAGTATGTGTTGTTTGTGTTTGTTTAATTTGTCTCCACTTTTTAGTTCAAGATTTGGCGGCGAAGTAAGAAGAAAGTTTTACATGTCTTTTCACCCTTGTAAAAGTTTCTTCTTGCTTTGATGGATCAAAATTTTGCTAAACACTACTCGAGAAGAATAAAACAAGAGCGATAGGTTCTTTAGTTCTTACTTGCTTGAATCCGTACCAGGGAAGGTCGCCGGAGCAGCGTAGGTTTGGCTTTTGAAAGAAGGGGGTGTCGGCAAAAATGTCTTTTGATTATTTTTTGTATTGCAAATTAAAAAATATATGGACCAAAAATGTAATTCCAGAAATTTAGAACTATAGGACCATAAAATGTAATCTATGAAAATTATATAAAGACCAAAAATGTAGTTTTGAAAAATTAAAACTGTAAGGCTAAAAGTTTAATTTGATTATTTTTTGCAATTTAAAAGGTATATAAAATTATTTAAACAATGAAATTTAAGATTATTATATTGTATAATATATGAATAACTTTCGGACATAGATAACGGTAAGAAGGTTTGCTACCAACTTGTATGACTATGAGTTAGATGTATAATGAAATTTGACATTAATTGATGTTATATGAGTTTGTTATTAGAGCTACTTGACTTAGGATAAGTGATGATATGGGATGGTTCATTTTGATACTTTGAATCATTATAATTGCTTTTGTTTTGGTTGTCAATAAGCGTTGATGTTTGTTACGTGTATGAGCCATTCTCGGAGACACATTTGTGTTTGTGATGTTGGGTACGCACATGATGTGTAAAATCTTCTAACATGATGTGTTATTGTCTGTATCTGTATGGAAAATTGTTAAAATCTCTACGTTTGGATATTTTAGTGTGGTTTTAGAACCTTAATAGGTTTTATTTATAACCTAGTGACAAAAATGTTTTAGAGTCATGAATTTTATTTGAAGTCTTGTAGAATGAACAACTAAATATCATCATTATTTGAAGTCTTGTAGAGTGAACTGCTAAGTATGATCATTTAATGTAATTTGATATTGTTCTAGGAGTGACTTGCAAGGTTGTTGGTGAATGTGGTAAATACTAGACATGTAACATTATTATCCATGGTTTTGAACTCGAATAAACTATTAACTATCAGAATTGATGTCTCCGGGGATTAGAGGTTAAGGGTGACTTAAGCATAGGTTTCTATTTTATAGTGTATGTAGGATTTTGAGGTTAACCTTAAGTTGTAAGTAATAAACAATATTAAATACTAATTATTGAGATTTTACACTTATCTTGATGGAAACCTTAGCGGCGGAAAACTTATGATTTGATATATTTCATGAATGCATGTATAACTGTAGTTATGTAAAGAGTGTAGTGGCTTTTTACATAATAATGATAATATAGCATATGTGTCTGCATAATATAAATTTTTTTTGTTTTCCTATGGCAACTCTATACTTGTAAAATTTTGTGGAAATTATAAGGGTCGTTTAGGTATTATCAAAACTAAAAGGGGTGAAACGAAACTTTACATCAAAATCTCGCTACAAGTCGGAATATCTGAGTAACGACACTGAAAAGTTGCATTCCGATGGAAGCTCTCGGCCACCTGAGAATCGGCGTCTGTGTTCCGTTGTCCACCCCGTTTCCGCCTTCCAACACTAAGAAACACCTAAAACCGCACGCTATCAGCGGTGGACCTAGTAGCAGTAATACCGTTTCCAGTAGCTTCTCCGCTAGCAAATGGGCCCACCGTCTCTTTTCCGACTTCCAATTCCTGCCCACGACCAATAATGCCGACTCTAATGACCTAACCGCCACTACCCTCACTCCACCCTACCCTCCCACGCTCACCACCGCCCCTGAACGCCACGTGTCTATGCCCATCGACTTCTACCGAGTGCTCGGCGCGGAGGCTCACTTCCTCGGAGACGGAATTAGAAGATGTTATGAAGCTAGAGCTTTGAAACCACCTCAGTATGGCTATAGTGACGACGCATTGATTAGCCGGAGGCAGATTCTTCAAGCAGCTTGTGAAACCCTAGCAAACCCTAGCTCAAAAAGAGAATACAATAAAGGGCTTGCAGATGAAGAATTCGATACAATCCTCACTGATGTTCCATGGGACAATGTAATTCTCAAATTCTCTTCCCTATCCCTCTTTTAGTTTTATACTCCATCAGAGTAATGCAGAATTATAGATGAAATGCACTAGAATTGATCAGGAAAGAATAACTGAAGAAAGAAGAAGTCAGCCAGTGATCTAACTTACTAGTCCTAATTATGATTTTTAAAGAGCAACACTGACTAAAATTTAGTTGATATTAAAATTTTCAAGGTTCCTGGAGCCCTGTGTGTATTGCAAGAAGCTGGAGAGGATGAATTAGTGCTTGAAATTGGTGAAAGTTTACTGAAAGAGAGACTACCCAAATCATTCAAGCAAGATGTTGTGTTGGCAATGGCACTGTCCTATGTTGAAATTTCAAGGGACACAATGGCCTTGTCTCCTCCAGATTATATTAAGGGTTGTGAATTGTTGGAGAGGGCACTGAAGTTATTACAGGTACGACTTTTAATGAAGTTTTAAGTTCTTGAAGCCCCATGGTTAATTATGTTGTTCTTGATTTTCTGCTCTCATTTAGGAAGAAGGTGCAAGCAGTCTTGCACCAGATCTACAAGCACAAATTGATGAAACTTTGGAAGAGATAAACCCACGTTATGTTCTAGAGCTCCTGGCATTACCTCTTGATGATGAATACAGAACAAGAAGAATGGAAGGTCTTCAAGGTGTCCGCAATATTTTATGGGCGGTTGGAGGAGGTGGTGCCGCCGCTGTTGCTGGCGGTTTTACACGTGAAGATTTCATGAATGAAGCCTATTTGAGGATGACAGCAGCGGAGCAGGTTAGCAATTTTTATATACTTTCTTGATACGCCTGTGAAATCTGCTATCTTTTGTTTCTGTTGATGATTTTTCTTTCTCCTTTGAAGGTTGAACTCTTTGTAGCTACACCAGGTAACATCCCAGCAGAAAGTTTTGAAGTTTATGGAGTTGCTTTAGCACTTGTAGCACAAGCTTTTATGGATAAAAAGCCTCATCTTATTCAAGATGCGGACAATTTATTTCAACAACTTCAACAAATCAAAGTAACCCCATTAGGCAATTCATCTCTTTACAACATTAAAGAAAGTCGTGAGATAGATTTCGCATTAGAAAGAGGTCTCTGTTCACTTCTAGTAGGTGAAGTAGACGAATGTCGTTCATGGTTAGGCTTAAATAACGAAAACTCACATTACCGGGACCCGTCTATCACTACATTTGTCATGGAAAATTCCCAAGATGACCCTGAAAACGACCTCCTTCCAGGCCTTTGTAAGCTGTTAGAAACATGGTTAATGGAGGTTGTGTTTCCAAGATTTCGGGAGACAACAGATGTGCAATTTAGGCTTGTGGATTACTATGATGATCCGGTTGTACTAAGATATTTGGAACGGCTGGCGGGAGTTGGTGGTTCGCCGCTGGCGGCTGCCGCCGCCATTGCGAGGATTGGTGCCGGAGCTACTGCGGTTCTTGATAGCGTAAAGATAGGGGCAATTAAGGCGTTACAGAAGGTTTTCCCTGTTGGTGAAACAGAGAGTGTTAGGCGTGAGTTTGATGATTCTTTTGTGGTGGAGAGTGAGTTGGACAGGCGGCAGGATGGTGGTTTTCCGGCGGATGTGATTACTGTTGATGAGATTAAGGAACAAGAAATGATTACTTATAGGATAAAAGATGCTGCGGTGAAGATTATGTGTGGTGGGGTGGTGGTGGGGCTGTTGACTTTGGCTGGATTGAAACTTATGCCATCCAAGAGAGGCTCTTCTTCTACTACTAACAAAGAAGTTGGTTCAGCTATGGCTTCTGAAGTCATCAATGTGGGTATGTTCTAATACAGAAAAGCACTTGTAGTTTTATGTCAAATTATTGATTTTACCACATAATAGCACTGTTATTTTCTATATTGATGTATGTATTTTGAACATAATATTAATGAATTTAGAATATGATGCTATCTATTACTAAGTTAACCCACCCATCCATCTTTCATTCTTCCTTGCAGCAGGGGATTCTGTAAGTGAAGATGCTGTAGAAATTCCTAGAATGGATGCAAGACTTGCAGAAAGTCTAGTTCGCAAGTGGCAGACCATTAAATCCCAGGCCCTTGGACCTGATCATTGCCATGAAAAATTGTCAGAGGTGAAGTCAGTGTTTTTTAGTTTATCACAACTGTGCATTCTTATACAACTGCTAAGAAGCTTATTATTTTCTAGACTATTTGAGTGATGAGAAAAGTTTCCACTAAATTCTATTGGATTCACTTTGTTATGCAACAATGTTCACCTTTTTACTGATTTATGCAAGCATGCATTTAGATAGGTGATTGGTAAAATATTGCATCTTTTGGTCCTAAAATGAAACGTGCAAAAGATACTATAACTTTGTAATTTTGTATTTAATTGTGAGGATATTTTGAAAAATTGCAGATATTGGATGGTCAGATGCTGAAGATCTGGCAAGAAAGAGCAATTGAAATTGGTGAACATGGTTGGTTTTGGGACTACAGTCTCTTAAATATTACAATTGACAGTGTGACCATCTCCCTTGATGGAGGCCTAGCTGTTGTTGAAGCAACCCTGGAAGAGTCTGCTCAGTTGACAGATTTGACCAACCCTGAAAACAATGACTCGTATAATTCAACCTACACAACCAGGTACGAGATGTCACATGATGCTAAAGCAGGATGGAAGATCACAAAAGGAGCCGTCCTCAAATCATAATCTGTATATATATATCATATCTATATCATATGTAGCTTTCAGCTTTCTCCTCTTTTTTACTGTTTTCATTGTTAGTTCAGTTTGCAATTGTGATGAATGAAAGTAAAACAAAATACAAGTTTGCATGCATAGTGATAGTGATATGATGAAAGTAATATTTTTATTGCATCAAGTACAAATCAAAGGTACACGCATGATGCTATATAGCTTCCACCATTATTGGTAAATTGATATATGTTAATTATTATGGTACGATATTTTTGGTGGTTGGGGTTTTGATAGTTAATATCCGAGCAAAGAGAAGGTGTCCCTCCAGCTGGGGCGCATGGTTTGTGATTCCTGCTTTGGAGCAAACAACAATTCCTTTGGTGTTTGGCTTGGATCAACAAGTCCAACAAGCTTTGCAACAATCTCAGCACTCTCCTTAGCATGCTCCATGTCATCTGTTTTTGTCCATAACAGTTGGGACAATTGTACCCTCCTGTTTCGTGACTGCAAATCAACTCCCCACTTGACAAAAAGACCTTCCCTTTCCTTTGCTGAGTATTTCCTCAATAGTTTCCTGCTTAGCATCGCCCTCTCCAAATCCATTGCCCTTGTGCTTTTATTACCCATCAACAAACAAAGATGAGTATGAGTATGAGTATTGAGTAAACAAATGAAATGCAAGTATTATGATATGTGTAAGCAAACCTTGAGGCGTGATCTACTGCTTTCTGGAGGAAGGATAGTCGGCGGAGCTCGATCTCGATGTAGACGGAATCAGATGGATCGCCTTGGATGAGCAAGAAAAAGTAGGTCCTGTGAATCAATGGAATGTTGCATTCATCCCACAATTTTATTATCTTCCTTCTTTGCTCATCAAACAACAAATCCCAGTCATTATCTTTCTTTGCTGATCCAATGGCTCGAGGTGTCTCCGCCTGATATCATAACCAAATGAATAACAACATACCATACTCATGACTCATGACTCATGAATCAACAACTATTGTGTCCTTACCATGTAATTGACGTACTCTCCTTTAAGATCATCCCTCATGACTTCTTTAAGTGTTCTGGTTGGAGAATAGATAAAAACACTCCCCTCAGTCTGCTTCATGTCTTTCTCATCAGAATCTTGTCTGCACAACGATTTGATATCCGATTCTGATTTGGATTGAAGACTTCTTCCGGAAGCATCCCCTTCAACTTCCTTGGTAACCATACTTACAGCCACCACATTGTATTCAGGAGTCATCTCTTCAATAACTGCACTGCAGCTCGTGCTTCTTGTCAAACTTGCAGTTCTTGAATAAGTTTTGTCCACAACTGAAGAACCCGAAGAGCGAGAAGATTGCTCCTCCTGATCATTCTCCATACACTCTAGTTCTTTGCAGCTGCCTGATGAATTTGACCTTGATTTCTCCCATTCGTGGGATGGGTCGGGTAAATATCGATCCATGAACTGACTCGAAGAGATTCTATCAAAAAAGTAGGAGTCTTCATTTGGGATGTTTAATTCGTCCTTGCTGTATGTGGTGATTGGAGCATTGAAGGATGTGTCTGATGATGGCAAACGCCCATCCCATGAACCAGTACGCAAGGGCCGAGATTCATTCTACATCGTAACAGAATATATTCTGAGGATTTTAAATGTCAGAAAAAAAAAACAAAAACAAAACAAATATACCCATGGAAGTAAACTCTGATCAATTCCAGCTGCTCTTAGTATTTCCTCAAGGCGAGTTCGAGCAAGATCACGTTCTTGAGTCAAATCTTTTATCTCTTGTTGCATCTGTAGTCACAGTAAAACAAAGTTAGTTACTTATGGATTCTGTTATGTCAAACATGTAATGGGGATAATACTATACCGACATCTTCTATTTGAGACTCTTTTTCTTTGATTACTGATTCGTTATTATTTGCTCCAGACATGTTCTTCAACTCTCTTTGCAATCTTTCCATTTCTCGTTGCAACTGTTTGACCAATGCTTTCTCTGACACAACCACATTCACCTGGGCACTGGTTCTGACTTCCTTGGCGCACACAGCAAACAAAAGGGTGTTTCTTGATTGTTCAAGATGAGCATGTGCAGGGCTCAAAGTGCATACTATTGCAGTTCTTGCATTGCCTCCAAGAGAGTTTTGTAGTATACGGGTTAGCTTCGAGTCTCTGTAAGGCACGTGACCATTTCTTGATTTGCTGCATCCACATTATAAACAAACATGTTTGTTACAAAAGTTGTATTGTATTTTGAGAAAATAGAGCAATGAAAGTGCAAACCTCAATTTGCGGATAACAGTTCCAAGTGTTAGTAGACTGCGATTTATGTGGCATCCTTCTTTTAGCCGTGTACCAGCTGATAAGGTTTGGGAAGCACGTTCACTTCCTGCTAGATCAACAAAGTTCTACACAAAAAACCAAATTTGGATTTATATTTTTTTTAATTTAAACTTCAAGAATCTATAACAAGAATCAAAAGAGAAAAAAAATACTCAAATTGATATTGATTATATTCGATATTCATACCACAGTAGCTGTAAGGCTGCTTGCACTGCCAATCCTTGCGAATTCGCTGGGGGAACTTTCAATTGTCTGAAAAGAAATAAAATAATGAGTCAAGTCAATTAGTCAATTATTCAAGATATAAGAAAGTTTAAGTTTGTTTAAAGTTGATATGCATAGAGTACCAATCGGATAATCTGGTGGGACCTTGAGCTCACTTCGTTCATTGATGTCTCCCCAATATGTCTTTGAGCTACAAAGTTGCAATTCCAAATACATTATCAGTATACATTCTTCTTGTATAAAGAATGGCTAATTTTAGATAATGAGGATGAGGGTGCAATTAGGCCTATTTGAAGTCCAATACACCCCAAATACAATACATGTGTCCTGTGTAACAAATGGGGCTTAATAAATGTTACCTTCGCACACGCCAAGAAGTTGCATTAGATGGGTCCAGTTTTTCAAACGGATCTCTGTGAGTTTATCTACAACCGTCCCTTTCTGATGATATCAAAAAAACATTGAAATTTTTCAAAACATTTGTTTAATAAATGGACTATTTTCACTAAAAATAGGACAACACTCACCACCGGATCATCAAGGAGTCTAAGTTGAGTACCATCTGCACTAAGAAGGTCTCTAACACATTCATTGTAGATTTCAATGGCAGAAAATTTCAGCACAAATTCCCTATCATTTTGCTGTATACAAAAAACTTACCCATAAGATTAAGTTATACTTGAAAAAAAATCATCTTTTTCTCTTCAATTACCTTTTTGATGTAATCAAATATATCTGATATCGCATATTGAGTGATTCCAGTCATGGTGTATGTCTTCCCACTGCTTGTCTGCCCATATGCAAAGACACTTGCTGCAAAAACAATTTAATTAACAACACCATACGCAATATCATTCAATATCATAATTGGAAATCATGATAATAAGTTAATACGACTCACAATTAATGCCATTAAGAGCTGAAAGAGCAACTTTTTTGACTCCCTCCTCGTACACTTGTCTTGTTGTACTATCACATCCGTATACTCGGTCTGTTTCCAAGATAACAATAACAAGTCAGTAATAAACAATATACTACAAACTTTTTGTGGGTATTCTTATAAAGGATATGAAGTTCAAGAATACTTTCACATGGAAATGGATATTGCTTACCAAATGTGTAGGCATTTGGGTGTGTTGATCGTTGTTCTGTTAAGCCACTTTTATAAAGGATTGTGTCATTGCTTACGCATTCCCAATCACAAGAATCATTCTTGGCAATTTCCTTTTCATTCAAAGGCCTCACCCTCACAGAGACAAATATCTTTTCTCCATGTGCACCTGGCTCTTGTCCACCACCTTGATTTATCTCGTCTCCAGTAAGCGACTTCATTTTATATGCTTAACAAGAGCACAGGCACAACAAGATTTTGAAAAAGGCTAATGAATTGCTGTTCCCTCTCTCCACAAGGATGAGAGGGAATAAAACTTAGAAGCCCTGATTTCCCTCTATATACCAAAAATATATGGAGTTCCCCTTTCAAATACTATATCTGCAAAATAATAACCAACAGATGCATAAATGTTCTATAAATTTCTGCCTTATGATTGATCAAACATTTGTTCAGCATGCTACATGTTACAGTATTACTAAATTATTATATTGGTGTATGCAATAAATTGCCTTATGATTGACATTTTGAAGATTATCTACATTCTGAGATATCGAAACCCGAGTATGTCACAAATTACAAGGTCACCATTGATCAGTTATATAACCATGAATTCATGGCGACATTTTCAATACAAACATGATTTAAGGTGCAACTCCATATTAAGAATTCAATCTGAACAATTATATATGATTGACCCTACAAGCATCAACATCGAAATCCATTCTCTTTGAAAGATGATGGACATTAACTCGGAATCATGAATTTGAGGAACAACTGAAGATCATGTTCCATTCATATGATAACAAATTAATAACCAGTACCTTAAAAAGTAAATTCGTACAACAATCAGCAATGTGATCAACATTAAAAGGAATCATGAATTCATATACAAAGTTTCAGTTATATAACAGAATGATTTGAAAGAGATTAAAATTTCGATCACCTCAATTCCTCAATGGGGATCGAACCACGATATAGCAAAGCGCGGGGACCTAATGATCGTACAAGAGGATGCAAATTCGCTAAATAAGAGACAAATAGACCCAATTGACATGATTCTAGAGAGAGAATTGTGGTGGTGAAGAGTAAGGAACGAAAATGGTGGAGAACCAAAGAATTTGTTTCGATAATAATTTTTCAGAACCTTTCAAAATAGACCGCCATCTCAACGACCTAAACGAATCAGAAATTTGAATTTTGATACTTTTTTTGAGCAGATTAATATGGGCATGAGGATCATGGACGTGTCTGAGCTTTTAGCTTCAGCTTGACAAAACGTTTTAAACAGAAAATGACACACGCGCGCGCGCGCACACACTCTCTCTCTATCTATATATATATATATATATATATATATATATATATATATATATATATATATATATATATATTTCCTCCTTCCCATATTAATAGTTTATGTTTCATTTTTAGGTTGTACCAAAAGAATAGTCTACTTCTAAAAAT